TATCCTTAGATCCCACATCTGCATCCTTCTCAAGCAGCAGCTTCACCACTGCGTCATGGCCATTCTCAGCCGCCCATAACAGCGGCGTTCGACCGTACTGGCTATCCTTGCACTCCACGTCCACGTCCTTCTCAAGTAGGATCCTCACCACTGGCTCATGTCCTTTCTTTGCGGCCGAAAGTAGGAGCTGCCTTTGTATTAAATTTATATAAACCTTGGACTGAATCTGGGTTCCTCGCTTCATCAGAAGCTTTAAAACTCCAGTATGCTCACTACAAATGGCATAATAAAGTGGCGTCCCTCCAATATCATCTGTCGAGTCAACCGCAGCCCCTGCTTTGAGTAACAGGCTGACTGCCTCCACATGTCCATGCAACACAGCCCACGAAAGTGGAGTCCGGTTGTGCTTATCTGCTGAATCGATATGAGTCCTCTTCCTCAAGAGTCTTTTCAAGGACCTTTTAGCCAAGAGGTTCACAACAGCACTATGGCCGTTTCCTGCTGCCCAAGATAAGGCAGATCGGCCGTGCGCATTGTCTTTGGCGTCCAGATCAACTCCATCCGTTTTGATCAAGTGTTTAACAACAGACATAATGCCGAAATATGATGCAACTATAAGAGTAGTGAAACCAGTGGGAAAGTCTGTGTTCATTGAAGACCAGTAAATCTGGAACCAGGCCTTGCAGCGAATTGTACTTGCGTCGCAAATCATAAGCAGGGGCCGTAACATAGCATCAGTTCTGAGGTCCGACTCCAAAAAATGCGCCGTCCAATATCTAGCAGTGTAGTCAAGAAAGACATAGCGGTCAGCGAGTCTTCGTACATCGCCTGTAAGTATCTGGGTCTTCTCAAACTCAGTGAAGAGTAAATGTTGTATACAGATCATTGCGAGAATACCGTGCGATTCTTGCAATCTTAAGGAATGCCTCCACTTAAATCTTCTTTCGACAGCAACAGGTATCTTCTCGAGAGTATCTTGAAGCAAAAATTCCCTTACCGTTTGGTGAAGGAGATATATTTTGGACTCTACAATGGTGACAAAGAGTCCGCACAGGCCTTGCATGGTTTCGCGAAAACGGTCTTCTGGTCCGAGAGCGAGGTCAACATAAGATCGATGACCCTCTCTCAGGGCCAGTGCGAGGTTCATCTCCTGCAGGTTCAAGGGTCGTGCTGCTCCAACCACAATATGAAGTAATTTCTTGGCTTTTTGTGAATCTGTGCTCCTTGATAGGATTTGCTCATAAGCCTCATCAACAGACTGTGGGAGGTTTGAGGTAACCTCGACTATCCCTCTTTTATCAATATCGTCCTTGTTCTCAATTAAGTTCAAGGTAAGATAGACGCAGAGATATGTTCTGTTGGGAACACGAGTAAGATTTCGAAGCAAGAGTTTTTGCTCATCTTCTGTGAGCCGTAGTCGAGCTTTTACTTCCTTGACCCTTGTTTCAATAAAAATAACGATCTCTTGGGAAATCTTCTCCATTTCAACATCACTTTCACCACTAAGATGAATGATAGGCTGTCCAGGTATGTCAAGAGGCTGAAAGCCCCGCCGGATACGACTGTAGGGGCGACTAGTAATCAGGAATTTCAGATTGAAATTATGTCGAGTCTCATCCATATAAAGCCTGCGCAAGGCTTCCGTAAATTGCGACCATCCATGTTGTTCACATTCATCTAAGGCGTCCAAAAGGCATGTAATTTCTCCGGCATGTTTTTGTTTCGCGGAACTGATAAGGATGTTCCAAAGTTCACTGAATGAGTTGGTAATCCTTTCATTCATTTCAAATTGCTCGATGAGGGATTCGGTAAGCAGGTCACGATTCTGGCTAAAGAGCTGGTGAAGGATGCAACATAGCGCATTCGTGATACTTTTTTGTTCTTCAAAGTCATCTTTGAAGAAGAAATATCCAACTGTTTGAGACATGCCTTTTGTGAGAATGGAATCTGCGAGGTATTTGGCAAGTACAGACTTTCCACATCCAGGATTTGCGGAGACCCAGAGCATTCGTGATGTCTTGCTTGCTTGCCAGTCTTGAAAGATTGTATGGTTAACAAACCACTGGCAAGTCCCTGGTATTCGACCAGGATTACGGTCTTTTTGATCTCGGTATGGCGACACATTAAGCAGCTTCAGGATAACCATCTGCCTTGCTTTTAATCTTTCATCCAACTGGACCTTTGCATCATATCTCGGGCTGTCATTCTTTTGATGAGGGACAACTGTCAAGAGCAGCTGAGAATAAGCAGCGGCAGCCAGGGCTGCATACCCTTGCCATTCTTTGCTCTTGTGAGAATCACAGTAGTCACAGATACCTCGGATCACCAAACACCCAGGGAGCTGATCCATAAGTCCAGCCGCCTCCATTTCAAAGCAGAGAATATTCAATGCTTCAGCAATAGACTCTCGCGTCTTGGCATCCTTCATGACTTGATTTCCGGATGCAATTAAACCGTAATGAATTTGAGACTTGTGAGATGTTCGTAATGCGCGTTTCACTAATCGGCTCTGGTCACATACCGAGCAATCAGCTTTATTGTTGGGATGCACATAATCCGCGCTGAAAAGCCAGTCTCTATCAGGTCGTGAGAATTCTTTTTTCAATTGTTCATACATGTTCAGTGTATTGGAAATAGTCTCGCTAATATCTTTCTCTCTGATCATGTGGTCACTGCGCATTTGAGACACGGCGTTTAGCAAGACTTGCGGGGGCTTGTTGAGGCAGCCGGTGCGCTGAAGGCGTCCATCGGACAGTGTCTTCCCATAATCATATTGTATCACGCCACCTGAAGTATTGGATGGCGTACTAACTACCACATCCCCAAGGCGAACATCGGTGCTTGCGCTGGGTACGCCACCTCCAATACCCACCATCAAGGCAAATTTTAAGGAGGGAAATGTTGAGTGCATCTTAGCTACAACCGCTGTAGCAGATGTTGTCCCATAGACACCGGACGGTAGGCAGGCGATAACTATATTATGGCCACTCATTGAGCCCAGTGTATAAGAGTTGGGATCCGTTGGCGGTTGAGGAAGGGATTCATGCGTCTTCTGGAGCATGACCTTTGCAGCGGTCATCTCCAGCGGCAATGCGCAAACCCAGGCAACGGTGTAGTCATTATGAGAGAGTCTCCTGGCTGCCATTTTCTGACAACAGTATCACAGAATAAATTAGACAAGGAACTTTGATGTGGAATTGAATAACGTGAACACTAGGGCCCCATGTGTAAGATATTGGGATTTGAGGTGGGAAGACTATGTAAGGGGGGTCAGTGCAAGGCTGGCAGTGAATGAGCTGGCGCAGGTGAGCGACCAGGATATGACCACTTGGTGTAACGAATCATATTCTTTGAGGTTGTCGTTCTGCCCATGCAGCCCCGCCCTTACATTTACGCCTTGTCCGCTGTTTGGTGTGGAAGGTTGAGAACTTGCCATGGGCAAGACGATGCTAATAGGATAGGGTGTGCCATTAGCCAACAAGCTACTTTCAGCAGCTGCTTCTCTCTTTTTAACTGTTCACGGAACTATCCAGGAATACCGCGCTCAATACTTACAATTTTACAGTAACAGGAAAGTATGACAAGGTTGAGTTATTCTAGTTCTAGAGATGAGTAAGCTTATAATGTCCATTCTTGTTGTGCTCATATATAAGAACATTTTCATCATAGGGCCAAGGATTAGGCGGGCGTATACAGGCGCAAGGCAGAATTCAAGACGCATAACAGGCAAATATTTTAACAGCATGGGAGAATCAGTAACAAAGAAACTCTTGCAAGACCCATCTTCAACTAAGATAATGCTATCCCAAGCATCAATAGGCCCCACATTTAAAAGAGCGAAGTAGACTTTAAAAACAAGGTCATGATGCAATTTGGCACTTAGAATAAATAACTAGTAATAGCAACTTGGCCCGGTAGCGACATTAAGTAGAACTATTGTCCTCTCGCCATACCTAAAGTTTAGCAGAACTGATAAACCTGTATGTAACTCTAACTTTACCTACTGCTTAGCAAAGGAACCTAAGAGCTTGGCCACTGCTTACCCTGGGCTCTACCCTCATTTAGGAGCTCACTAAGATATATGATGTGAATCTGTGTTGTATGGATCCTATAGATCATCATGGGTCAGGATGACCCGGTAAATTGTAACAACATCACGTGTGCTCAAAAAGGCTGTTTCTGGGCGTACTAGAGAGTGCAAGAGAGAGGGGAATAGCTCTGGCGATCTATGTAGATACTGGTGCCTAATTTGAAGCCTCAAGAACTACAGAGGTGTTCGCTTGCAGAGTATGCTTGAATGAATTAAACTTGTAGCGAGAGAAGACTGGCCACAATGCGAGCAGCCAGAAATCTATACTTATACTCCTTAGCTAGACTACAGGGAGACGATCAAAGGTTCGGCTCGACATTGTCCCCACAGATACCTAAACCACGTAAGATAACGTCGATCCAAAAATTCCGTACGCATCATCTGCTGTCCCTACTAAAACCCAGCCCACACTTCAGACATTCCCACATGAATATGTGACTAGTAGTGATTGTTACAGTCCGAAACATAATCAATCTTGATCTGGCAAGCATCGCCCCTATTATCATCACTCTGAACATAGCCACAGGTACGGCATCCATTTGCCCTGTTGTTGCGGTACGCCGCCTGGATCTGCTCAGTAGTCCTGTAGCAGCCCGGAGGCCCAGCAACAAACACGCCACAACCAAGACCAGAAGGAGCTGCCCAGCCAGTTACTCCTCCACTAGAGACAGACAATGATGAGTCTGGTCTATAGCTTTGGGAAAGAAACGGTAAAGTCTTACCTGGTGCTGAATTCTTGAGTTGGGAGCATCGTGTTCACGGCATGGTCGCAGTAACCAAGGAGGCCTGGCCATGAGCCGCACTGACTGGAGCCCTTGCAGCTGAAGAAAGCACTTGCTGCGTTCACTGCCAGCTCTACGCCAAATGGCCTAACAGCGGGGGTTTCGACGCTGTTCTCGGGGTCAGGGACAATGAAGGCTGATGCCAGGGTTAGGTGGCACCCAGAGCGACAGCTAGAGTAAACAATCTCATTTCGACAGGGAAAAGGAGCTATTGTTGCCAGGAATGCTGGTATTGTTGTGATCAGGATGACTGGTTCTCGAGGGGCGTTTAGGACCTCTATAGACGAGTTGATCAGGGTTTATCTCTCGGGGTCTACACACTTCTTAAGGGATGCATCCCCAATGCTACCTTGGTATTCTAGTACTCGCCCAGTGTGTGCCAGGAGGATGTAGCTACTGTCTGGTGTATCCGCTTGCAGGGATTCGAATATCAATCCATGTTGTAGCACATGCCTAACCAGTCTACTTGGCTTAGTACTGTTTTCGAACATCCACTGTGCACAGTGACGGAATCTCATAGGTCTATAATTCCGCTACTTGTTTCATTGCTAGTCATAGTAGCTATGGCCAAGCACACCAGCACAATATGTGCATGTTAGCTCCACTATATATGAGACAATACTATACTGTGACAAGAGACTTAGTCCGAACTTCCTAGCCTGGGTTGGCATTCTGTCGCCGAGGGTGATTTACTGGAACTGACCAATATTGCAAGTATGATTGCACATAACCAATACATTTACTTAGATTAACTGGCAATTTGTACTAGTCAAACACGCCTAAGGATGCTAGTTATCATTCATTTTAGTCTAGTCGATACTATGTTGAACAACGTAAACTTCCCACTCACTGGGAGATTAGTGAGCTAACATAACAGCAGCAGGCTTGAGATATGTATTCAGTGACTTTTACATCTTGTCATTGTTAAAGCGCAGAGACCCTTATGTATTAGTAGTAGGAAAGCATTTAGTCGTGACCCAGGTAGGTTGTATCCTATTCCGCGGAAGCTGAGAGTTAAGGTATTGTTCGCCGTGGAGAGGATCCAATCAAAGCCTTGCACATTTTAACCGAAGGCAATATTACAGGCTAAATAGCCATGTAGTCGAGGCTAAATTTTAGAGTACATGACCCTAAAATTTAGACGGTTTAGGGTACCCTAGTTGTCCAATGTCAATACTGCTTTCAGTTCAGCCCCAGGGATAGTGCATAGCAAGTGTCATTTCGAAAGACAAAGCTTAGCAAACTTAAGCCTAGCGCCGTTGAAATACGTGGAGTCTTAATTTTTCGTCCGTCCAACCAGAGTTCAGCATGTGATCTTGTCAGGGTCCTCTTGATTTAGGGGTCCAGATTGGTAAGAAGCTAATCTTGTAGGTCCTATAGTGGTCTGTTCATTTACCTAACATTTATAACTCCTAACAGGGATTTTTTTAGCTCATGCTCTTAGCCTGCTGCCTGCACCTTTTATAAATCTCAATGACTCACTGCATAGCGCTATTTAATAGAACTAAAAACACGATGTAACAACGTGCTTTTAGCAGACCATAGGATTGGCCATGTACTATAGATTTTAAAACGTCCGCCATGAGGCGCAGATGGCTTCTCGCCCAATTGTACAGGAATTTGAGTCCAGGGTCCAGAAGCTAGACATGGCGATCATGTTGCTGCACGTAGGGCTAGAGCTAAATTACTGTGCAGGCAGACCCCAAGATGATTCATTATACCCCTATTAGCAATATCCCTACCCACATTCTGTGTTTTGTCCTTTTCCCCCCCCTTCTCTAGTGCTGTCCTGCCAGTTTTCAGGTGATGAAGTTCTGTCTCTTGCGGTAACATTTATCTCTCTTTGCTCCGAGCTACAGAGCAAGATATGCAGAGATGGGTCGATATCTGAGTTATCATCCCTGCCAGGTACTCATTCTCGGCCTTGTCGCAGTCCTTGCGATTTCAATATGGACACTATGGCTGGGCGTCAACTCAGACAAAGACAACATCCATCCTTTACTTAACCAACTGATTCCTGCAGGCCATTGTGCCTGCGAGTCTGCTACCGTCTTTAAATGTGATAGCTGCCTCCAGTGCTCTGCTTCCACATTACCTCAGAACCATTCGCCTCCTCACATTACCTTCGATCCCAATGAATACTCCTACAATGAGACACAATGCCAATCTTTCTTCCCCGGCCTGTTCGAAGATCCCACCCGCGCTCAGACATTCTGGCAGGCCAAGAATGGAATACGCAGGGCCGACCTCGACAATGTCCAAATGACGAACGGCATGGTCAGAGCTGCTGTCTATAAAGGGCGTCTGTATGTCATTAGAGCTCTCGCCAAGGGGGAAGACCACCGCCGCAAAATCATCGGAGTGTTGAGCTCGATCCATCGCGCCCTGATCTCCGCACCAGACCTCGCTGCGATCCCAGACACAGAGTTTATCTTCTCTATCGAGGACAAAGTGGAAGATGTCGCGGGACCTGGCCATCCTCTTTGGGTTCTGGCGAGAAAGGCCGAAGAAGAGTCCGTCTGGCTCATGCCAGACTTTGGCTTCTGGTCCTGGGGACATCTTGAAAGCAAGATCGGACCGTATGACGAAGTGGTTGAGCGCGTCCGACAGCGGGAAGTCCCCTGGGACCAGAAAAAGGACCAGCTGGTGTGGCGCGGGAAGCTCAGTTTCGCGCCTAAACTGCGGCGGACGCTGCTTGAGGTTGCGCGGGGCTATCCATGGGGTGATGTGCGAGAGGTGGAGTGGAAGAACAAGGCCAACTTTCTCAGCATGGAGGATCACTGCGATTACAAGTTCATCATGCATGTAGAAGGGCGTTCCTATTCCGCGTCTCTTAAGTATCGCCAAGCGTGTCGGTCGGTCGTTGTTATTCATAAACTGCAGTACATCCAGCATCACCACTACCTCCTCGTCTCCTCCGGGTCACAGCAGAACTTTGTCCAGGTCGAACGAGATTTCTCTGATTTGCCGCAGAAGCTACAGGAGCTTCTGGATAACCCTGCTAAAGCTCAACGGATTGCAAGTAATAGTGTGAATGTGTTCCGGGAACGCTATTTATCGGCTGCTGCTGATGCATGTTACTGGAGGGCCTTGCTGCAGGCGTGGGCTCTGGCCTCTCCTGGTCTTACTCTAAAGAGTGCTCCTCAAAATCGTCTCCGATATGAGTCATTCTTACTGCTCAAGGATAGCAACATGATGCATGTTGGGAAATGATATCATGTACTTGACGATAGTAATCCAGCTATACTACTGAAGCTTGTAGGACTTCAAAATGCCAGCCCTGCATGATCCCTTTACTGCTTCAATAGTGAACGCAGATTAGTCGATATTAGACAGCGCTGGCCACGTACGACCATTTGACCAGTCTATACTGCCGATTTTCTGCAGCCGACAAGCCCAGGGACCCGAAAAAAGTATTTATAGATCCCAATATCCAGGCCTCTCGCCGGATTTTCGCTGCCGTTTGTCGATATTCCCACTTGGGTCTTTGCGAGACAGTCTGACCAGGTAACAACCTGTACTAATATTCGGCCCACAGTTCTTGAGCTATCCTGAAAAGCTATGCTGTGCCTCTGATAAAGTCTTCTCTTTATTTCCCTTTTCGTCAGTTGACTGACAGACTATATGGCTGGCCTGTCTTTAATTGATCCCTAAACCAGCATCTCTATCCTCTTGTCATATACATGAACTAGTATTTAGGTACACCAAATCAGGTGTCTGGCTAATCACTCATTGTGAAGTCTCACCCTTGGAACCATCAACCAGGAAACTCCCGTGGCCCCTAGCAGTCCGACCAGAATCGGCTGCAAGACTTTAACGCCAGCATGAGTTGCCAAAATGCCTGTGACAGCTGGAAAAATCGACCCTCCCACCTGCCCGAGCACGAACACAAGAGCTTTGATCATTTGGTCAGCAATAGTCAGCGAGGCTCTACATAGAAGAGGATGCACATACCGAGTGCAGACGAGCGAATTTCCGCCGAGAAGATCTTGGACGCAACAGATATGCCGGTGGCAAAAAAGGGACCGGAAAAGAAGCCAAAAAGACTGATGGCTACTGCTTCCGTGATGATATTTGGCACCCTATCTGATCAGCAAATGCCGTCACGTAGGGAGAAACACATACAGCCAGAATATCAGCTGCAGTCCAACACATAACACGACGTAGATGAAGATCATGCGTCGTTCCCCCAAGCGGTAGGTTGGCTCAGCTAGAATGAGTCGGCCGAGGAAGGCCCCTCCATAGAAGCCGGCAGGGACATAGCCCATGTCCTTGAGGTCTCCTTTTCGCACATCAACGAGGTATTCCACAATCCATCCTATTCGATCAGTATTGCATCGGACAACGGGAACATGACATACCACCAGCAGTAATGGCAGCGCCCAGGAAGAAAAAGAAATAAAGACTCAACAACCACACGCTAGGCGTGCAGACGGTCTGCCGCATCTCCTGCAAGCCCCCGTTCCTTGTCTCCGAAGAAGATTCACCAAGCCACGGCGTCATCCTCAACGAATCCCTGAATGCAACCACCACTAGGACCAGGTTGATTACCCCTAGTCCCAACGGCGCAGCATAGAATAGACTCCAGCGGGATTGCACGCCCATGGAAGCCACGGCCGTCGAGACAAACGGGCCCACAAGACACCCGGCCATGTACATGGCATGAATAAACCCCAGCCATCGATGCGCCGCTTTGACAGACGCAACAAACGTGTTGGCGTGTGTATCTTGATATGCCTGGCCGAGACTCGCAAAGAAGAAAGTCACTGCGAACAATGAAAAAGGAGGAAGCCAGGTCCGCAAGGCGTGAGCGAGAACTTGAAGAAGCGCCCCTAGGACCAGGAGGGCACCCAGATCAAGGTACTGGCAGAGATGGCTGTTGGAAAGCGCGGCGAGAAGCCAGCCGCAGAATGTCGTGCCATATCTGTCTACTGTTATTGGGGAAGTCTGCAGACAAGGCAAGGACGTACACTACAGCGACCAAATTTGTGTCGATATGATATCCTTGACGGATATAAGGAATCAGAGATCCAAGACTGCCATCGTTGATGCCGGCTACAAAGAAAGAGAAAGCGGCACTGATGAGTTTGAGGTAGGGTCTGGGAACTTGTTGATGAGGGGTCTCTACTTCAAGTGGCTCCATGGTGTATGAAGTTGAAGAGCGTCAGCGTCTCCTTCTCAGTGGAAGATCCACCACGCTATATATGCGGTGTCTACGCTCAAATAGGCAGGTGGCCCAACTACACGCGACTCGCCCAATCAGGCAAAGCAGCCAGCAGGACACATCAACAAATGATGCGTATGGTCGTTCCTCCTCAAATTCAATAGCGCATCATGTGTCATCATCAAGCACAATAGGTTACGGAATTCATTGCTTATTTTGAGGCCCTTCTTTCAATCAACCCTATTTAGGAATAGTGATGTGCCGACTGTACCATCTACAGGCATGCTGAGAGATTACATACAGACTTTAAGAATACGATAGGACGTCCGCAGTTGCGAAAAAAGCAAGCAAGCAATGATATTTTACGGTAAAATCTTCTTTGACACTCACGCTTTTCTTTCCCAGCACTCCACTCAGATCGCGCTAAACTGAATTCGGTCAGGGAAGGCCCCATCTTTTCTTATGTATTTCTGGTGGATCACTGAATTTACCGTCACATCCAATGTAGTTTTTCAGAGGCTGCAGGGCAGCAGGATGGCTCCGCTTGCCGGGTGTTCGACAAGGGACAAAGAAACCGCGCTCGAACAGCGCATGCACGAGCCCAAGCACTCAGAAACTGATTAGACTGTAAGCCTGTCGGAACCCTGTCTGACTAGCAGCATAGTCCCATACGTTGCTGCCTACGAGTTCCCCTGAAAGAAATCCCTCGTCTTCTCCCTTCCCGTTCACCCTTTCCCACGATTTAAGACCCTGTGGGGTTCTACCAGGTTGGCATTTCTCTTTCATCTTCATTCATCTTCGTACTCATTATTGCAACCGAACCAATCCATCAATCAACACCGTCGACACCTCATAATGCATCATCTCCGTGATTTGCTGCTCAGCCCTTCGCCACGAGGCACCTCCTACCTCACCACATCGGAAGCTTTTCGGATAAACCAGGAGGACACGCGTCAGTGCATCGCTCGGGGAGAATTCGAGGAGATTCGGGGCGCGGCCTTCCATAACCGAACCTGGATCACCACCTCCCGATACTGCGAGCTTGGAGATGGTGTGGATTCCCTCGAAGAGTACATTCATTCCATGTGGTATATGTACTACCAGCTCGGTCGGAATATGTCGTACAAAACGCCCGACCACGAGGGTCTTGTCCTCGACATCGTCCGCATTCAAGGAATGGGACCGCTGACACGGCCCGTGCGAGGAAATTACGGTATTGATATCGCACGAACTGCCGAAGGCACATTGTGGAATGATCTGCCCTTCTTGGCCACCGATATGACCAGCTTCTGGAACAGCGACTTCCCGACCATGTCGAGTACACACCGACTCAACTTTGCGACTTTCCTGGCCAAACTGGCATCAACTCGCGTCGGCAAGGATAGGTTATGCCAGATTGCCCTCATTCTATTCCGCAATCTGTTTGAGGAGAGACAGGTACTTCGCAGCGGGGAGGAGTTGGATGATGAAGATCCCAAGCGTAGCATGCATCGGCTTGACATTTGTCACTTGTTGCCAGCTGCCGTGGCTTGGCTCTGCCATGCAGGCGACAATCTTATTCTACTCTCAGAGGTCTATTGGAACGATTGCCCCAGTATCATCAGCAAGGGTGGCGAGATGTTCATCGAGTCAGAGCTTGGGCAGCGATCACCCACTGGATTCTCGCCATGGAGATACATATACTGGCTCAAGCGACTCCATGAAATCAAGGAGGAGGCCAAAGAGGCCAAAGAGGAACTCTTAGAAGAGTATGCCACCGATGCCATTGACTACATGCTCAACAAACTCGTGCAACGAAACTCTGAAATTTTAAGGGCATACCAGAACGGTGGAGATGCCTTGCATCAGGAAAAACATCTGCTGTGCCTGAAGAGTCTTTTGAAGAGTGAAGCTACGGAGAATGAAGACTCGATGGACGACTCAAAAGATGGCGCAAAATAAGTAAGACGCGAAGGAACCTTGCGAGCTGTTGACAAGCGTCAGCGGCATAGCTACGCACTTTCAAATAGATCGGCGCCAAGAAGGAATAGTGGGGATTGGCGCTGGACCCTGCAGATCTGACTTGTTCCTAAGCAGACTGTCCTTTAACGTCTCACTAATGCTACCTGGAAGAACACTATGTCAACAAAATCTATTGCTCTGATTGTATATCTTGAATGGTATGCTCTACATTTGGTTATTCCGGTTCTTCAAAGGCTTACCTTCGCGGCTCAGTCGGGCGGCGAAACCTCGGTGCGATGCGCGAGACCCCTGCAGCAGAGTTTGAGTATCACAGAAAACCAATGGATCTTGAGTAGGCCCACCAACCATACAGTAGTGCTTCTTTAAGTCATTGTTCAACATTAACTAACCAGCTATTGGATTGCCGCTACTCCTTTCTCCACCTTGGAGTAGTTCGCCTCTTTACTTTCATATCTTCATAATTCGGCGAATGCGAAGTAGACCCGCTTAGATTTATCTATCAGTCAACCGAGGCTATTTTGCTGGACAAACGTTGACCGGTATATACGGCCTATAAATGTGATAAGAGTTGAAATGTCACGGGTAGTCATATACAATAGATATTGTTGGTGTGATTAGTGAAAGCAAGGTTAATCAAAGAATAGCCATCGAAAATCAATCAATATGCCAGCAATTCAGGAGGAGAAGGACGGCGGTGAATAGAAAATTAAGTGTGTTATACGGTAGACAGGTATTTTATGGGCATAGCCTGTTGTTGATATAATTTACCGCTTACCCTATTTAGAATTCGTCTTACCTGCCTATTAGATAGGGATCTTTGTTAAAAGTAAAAAGCTATTTAGTAATAGTGATGTGCCTGGACTGCAACCTGTTTTGACGTCAGCAGGAGTAAACACTGTACCATCTACAGGAATGCTGAGAGATTACATACAGACTTTAAGGACACAGATTTCTCTCTAGAAGAGCTATGGCCTTCAGTACATCGGGTTTAGATGCTCTTCTGCGTCGTCCAGAGCAGGAAAGCATCTGGAGACGCTTGCTGAGGGCCCCGGTGCCTGTAATTGCGGAACTTGTTTACACCCGATTCGCTCAGACGCCCTCGTCCATGCCCACCGCTTCACCCATCCGCGTGGTTTGCATCTCAGACACTCACAACACTCAGCCTCAACTGCCTGACGGGGATATCCTCATCCATGCTGGTGATCTCACCCAGTCTGGTACTCATGCAGAGCTAGAAGCACAGATTGAATGGCTCAATCGCCAGCCCCATCGCTTCAAGGTGGCGATCGCGGGGAATCACGAGCTATGTCTGGATCCCAAGGCTCAAGCTCAAGCACCTGGTCGCAAGGAGCCAGTCGACTGGAAATCAATCCTGTATCTAGAGAACTCACCGACAATCCTCGACTTTGGTTACAGACGCGTCAACGTGTTTGGGTCCCCGTACACCCCACGGCACGGGAACTGGGCTTTCCAGTATCCACGTAATGAGAATATCTGGGACGAGATACGGATCCCGGATGACATTGATATTCTGATTACACACGGCCCCGCGAAGACACATTTAGATCTGGGACGATATGGCTGTGAATTCCTTCGGGAGTGGTTATGGTCGATGAGGCGAAGGCCTTTGCTACATGTGTTCGGTCATATTCATGGGGCTTATGGGAAGGAGACTCTGTGCTGGGATGAGTTTCAACGAGCCTATGAGAGCATCATGGATAATAAGGCAAAGTGGATGCATCTGATCATTTTACTGTGGCATGCACTTCTACTGCTTATACTCCCGAGAGATCCTTGTGGAAGGACTTTTATGGTTAATGCCGCAGCAGTCGGGGGACTCCGCGATGAAAAGAGACGGGACGCTATCTGTGTTGATATCTAATGAACATCATCAAAATATACTACAGCTAGCTCTCATCAACAGAATCCGGCCAATAATACACCCCCCGATCCAACGCCCTCTTCAGTCTCGGATCGACCCTGACATACCCCGCCTTCTTCAACCCCGCAATAACCCCGTCGATCAACTCGGCCACCATTCCCCCGAACACGATGCTGCCCTCCACATTCAGATGCGTCCGGTCATCCGGATTGAGATTATACGTGTACGCCTTCTCCGGTCCAATCCTATTCAAATACCGCGTACTCGCACCATTCAGATCGATGTACGCCGCATGCGAATTCCTCGCCGCGTCGATAGTCGCCGCGCGCTGGTCCGCCAGACTCAGAATGATAGTAGGCTCGCCTGTGGCATCGGAAGTCGCGTAATTCCGGCGTGAAAGCGGGGTCACCAGGACGGGCGTCGCGCCTGCATCGCGCGCCTCGCGGACGAATCGCTCGAGGTTGCTGGTGTACTCCGCGAGGGAGATATTGGCCGCGGTTTTCTGGTCGTTGTGGCCGAACTGGATGGTCACGTAGGGCGTGTAGCGGTCCTTGTATTCGGCTACTTTGCTGAGAACCGTCGCCCAGTCGCCTCCGGCGCGGAAGCTGACGGTCGTGGCGCCGTTGTGGCCGTAATTGAGGCCGCTGGCCCCGTGGAAGAGGGTCGTGTTGAGGAACCCATTGCCCCAGCCACCGCCGTTGGACGACTGTTTGGCGGTTGTGCTGTCGCCGGCTAAGAGGAAGAATGGTGGTTTGGGGGAGTGGCCGGGACTCGGTAGGGCATAGAGGGGGAGGATGAAGATTGAAAGCAGAGGAAGACGCATTGTGATCTGTGGGGACAATACTGGTAGATGAATGCCATTTTTCGTGGGCTACAAGCATCTTATATTGGATTCTAGGATACGAGCTCGGGATAATGCCAATGCGACTGCAGCTTTTTCCACCAACGGGAAATTAGAGTTAATTTGCAGTCTAGTTGTCATGCTGTCATCTATCGTGCAACATTCGAGCTATAAGCGATATTGGGAACTGAATGATTCCGCAAATGAACGTTGATCCTTCTCGGTGGTTAACAGTCCGGGGTACATATAATGACGCAGGGGGTTGGATGCAAACCTTACTGTCTCTAGTGTCTGCAGGGATATCCTCCAAATTTCACAAGCATTTGTTATCCAGCTTCTGCCAAGCGGCCAGAAGTCAATCTTCAACCCCCTCATATACTCCTCCATCCCCTGTCATCAATCCCTAGCGACTCAATCTCAACATCAAACGGCCAAGATCCATTCGACCTCCACTAGGAGCAGTGACAGGGCAGTTTAGAGCGGCTACGTTGGTCAAGTATGATTCCTTCCGTAACTGTCGATGCGCAGTTTGCCTTCCGGAAAGTCAAATACATTCTCTATCTGCAGATCCCATCGGAGCGGTGGGTGTAGAAACGGGTGCTTCCCTGGAACATCCCGGTACCTCCAAAGTGTCGTAACCCAACAGACTGTGGCCCAATGCACATTCAGCCCCGATGGGCGTCGAGACACGATAGTCAGGAACCACTCGGATTTCGAAATTGCCAATATTGATGATTCAAACGTCTGCGCCACGAAGCTCATGGGAGAGATATCCGAGATCCTGACCATTAGCAGGACAGGTCAATATGTAGCGTTCCGTCTCAACCAGCCTGCCACGTCGTCACAGCTAATCCAGTCACGCCTTGTCGTTCTCGACACGGTTATCAATACACACCTTGTCCTACTGACGGGAACTCAGGAACGGCGGTTTGACGAAGTGTCTTTTAACCTCCGGGACTGGCTATCATGGTCTCAATGGGCCGCCCAGGGACCGTAGATGATGTACATGCCCAGGGGACGGGCCCCCGTTTCGGCCAGACACGCACTGCATTCAAGTTCATGCCGTTTTCAACTGGCTAGTTGGCGGAGCCTCCAGTGCGCCGTACATCGAACCCGAGATCGACTATCTGCTAAACCCTCAGAAGTAGCGTTGCGTCTTAATGCAGCCCGCGGCAGTCACGAGAGAACCGCCGCTCTCATCCAGTGCGACCTATTTATTCTCGGATAGGACCATTCGACTCTCAGATAGCTCGTTTGTTTAATCCATGGGCTTCTCACCGCAGGATGAGCGCTGCTGTATTCTCACGTCCAAGCAGACAGTCCTTCTTCCTAGCTCGCTGCAGCCATCACCCCTGGGCGATGCGTCCCCTACGGCTGGTAAAGAGCAGAAACCCAATACCGGTCGTATACTCGTCTGTTTGGCCACAACAGAAAGCTTGGTTTCTTTCAACCAGCCTACCAGTAAGTTGGCCCACCCTGCTCGCCTGGCAATCCGCTCACCTGCCGCAGTGGCGCGAAAGGATACTGGATGGATCTGGACTACAAGACGCATGACATCCCGAAGAGCATCACTGACCATGTGTACATATGGGATCTTTGCGGCACGCCGAGGCTCGTCCATGACCAGCTTCTGCGACGGACGAGGTCGAAATCAACATGCTTCGGTATGGGCAGTACCGCCGGCTGGATGTGGCTTCCCACCCAGCCTGTGATCGCATGGCAATCTTCAAGGCAGTACAACCTCGACCAGGTCAGGTAATCGACGTCAGAGTACTATCTATCGAAGGTGTATGGAAAATGCACTGTTAAAGCAGTCCTTGAGGTTTAATATATACCAAAAAGCCATGGAAGAAGAACGGCAAGCAAGAGCCCGGCCAATGCAAAAACCAGAAATATCCTTCTCCGCTGCTGATCTTTGCGTAAGCTCTCCAAATTGCCAACACTGGCCTTGGTATCTCTATGGTCTGCGCCCAGTGTTTTTGCTCTCCCGGCAGCTGCCCTCTTATACATTTTCTCTGCCTCTTTTAGCCTCTTTTGATCCCGGTATAAGTTTCCCAAATTGTTGACCGTTGACAGAGTTACTATATGGTCCGGACCAAGGACTTTCTCTCTCCCCACTAGAGCCCTCTGGTATAGACTTTCAGCCTCCTTTAGCCTTCCCAGCTGTCTATGCAGATTTGCAAGGCAATGAACAGTGGCCAATGTTGATATGTGATCTGGGCCACAGCGCTTTTCAAATCCTGACAGTGCCTGCATATATAATTCTTCCGCCTCTTTCAGCTTGCCCTGATCTCTATAGAGGCTACCTAGACGGCTGGAAATGGTCAGCGTAGAAGGATGATCTGGGCCGCGAATATTGTTGAATCCTGCGAGGGCTCTCTGGAACATTGGTTCGGCCTCTGGGTTTCCCTGATCCCTGTAGATGTTTGCGAGGCGACAAACGGTCGTCAAAGTGTCTGGATGATCAGGACCAAAAAGCTCCTCCCGGCCCGTAAGTGCCCTTTGATACATCATCTTTGCCTCTGCTAGTCTGCCCTGATCCCCGTAGAGATTCCCCAGGCAGTGGACAGTGGTCAGTGTCTCTGGGTGCTGCGGACCGAGAACCTTCATTAACTCTGTTAGGGCTTTCTGGAATATATCTTCCGCCTCCTTCAGCTTCCCCTGATCGAGATATATATTCCCCAAGCATTGAAGGGCGTATAGCGTGGTAGGGTGGACTGGGCCCAAGGCAGCTGTGTATCCAGTAAATGCTTGTTGATAAGCTCCACGGGCGTCCTTCAGCCTGCATTGATCAAAATAGAGGTCTCCAAGGCGGCGCAGCGTGTTCATCGCGTGAATATTATTGGGGCTAAGAGCCTGGTAGCCTGTTAACGTCTCCCGATATAGAGCTTCAACCTCTTCAAGCTTATTCTGGTTGAGGTACACATTCACCAGACATGATAGAGATTCGAGGGTATCCGCATGGGTAGGACCTAAGATGCTTTCTCGTTCGCGGAACACCCTCTGATACATTGTCTGTGCCAGCTCCAGGTTCCCTTTTTGACTATAAAGTTCGCCAAGGCATTGGACGCTGGTCAGGGTAAATGTGTGAGCTGGCCCCAAGGCGTGCGTGTACCCGGTTACGGCCTGCTGGTACATGTTTTCCGCCTCGTCTAACGCACCTTGGTCGGAATAGACATTGCCGAGATTATGAAGGGTCGCGATTGTATCCATATGGTCTGGCCCGTGAGCATTCCGATATCCAGTCAGAGCCTGCTGGTACATATTCTCAGCATCCTCTAGTTTGCCTTGAGTGTAGTAGAGGTTTCCCAAGCTCTGGATAGCAGTAAGGGTCTGTACATGGTCGTGTCCGAATACTTCCGTGTATCCTGCCAGTACCCTGTTGTATATTTTCTCGCTTTCATCTAGCTTTCCCTGATCCTTGTAGAGGTCCCCTAGGTTAAGGGTAGCTGTCAAGGTATGTGCGTGTTTCGCTCCAAGAGATTTCTCGTATCCTGTCAGGGCTCGTTTGTACAACACCTCCGCCTTGTCATGTAAACCCTGGTTCCTGTATAGTTCCCCAAGGTTGCTGACCGTTCTCAAAGTAGCCGTGTGATCGGGGCCCAAGGCTTTCTCTTGACCTCGCAATGCTCGCTCATACAGCTTCCTAGCATCATCGAACTTGTCTAGGTCCCTGTATGTATTTGCGAGAGAGCCAACAGTACTCAGCGTGTTCATATCGCATGGCCCTAGTCTTTTCTCTCGACCTACCAGGGCCCTTTGATACATCAGCTCAGCGGTTTGCAGCTTACCCTGGTCCCTGTATAGATCACCCAGGTAATGAATTGTAGTCAGGGTATCTGGATGTTCGTGACCGAGCTTGATTTCGTATCCGGCCAAGGCTTTCTGGTATAATTGCTCTGCTTCATTAAATCTTCCCTGGTCATTGTAAAGATTTCCAAGGGAATGCATCGCGCCAAGTGTAGATGCATGGTCTGGCCCAAGAACCTGCATAAAACCAGTCAATGCATGCTGATACATCGCTTCGGCGTCTCTTAGTTTGCCCTGGTCAAAATAGAGATTTCCCACTAGCTGAATAGCTTTAAGCAGAGAAGGGTCCTGGACAAAGACGGCCACGTTTGTAATTGCTTCACCCATCTGGTCTGCGTGAAGAAGAAGCCGTTGCTGAAGAAGCCAGTACTGCCTTTCGGAGCGTAAGGGCACCGTGTACCCCACAGAGGCCAGAGCAATTGCTTTCATGGTGAGCTTGGTTTCCTCGCCCGTCTCACTGAGAATATGTCGACACCAGTCTTGAACTACAGGATGCATGGAGTAGCTTCCGTCCTCCTTTGTCTCAATCAATGAGAATTCAATGAGAGTCCTCATCGTCTTCAGGAATTTAAACGCATTCGAGGCCACTTGGCGAAACCACGGGGGAGCATCAACATAGTTCAGCCCGCTTTCAACTAACTCAAACCAAAGATCTCGATTGTGAAAAACGGAGATAAGCAGTAAGAGATTTGCCGCTGACGCATCTCGTTTCTGAATCTCGAGATAAGATATCCTCCAGGTTGTTCGGATATCTCCCTGAGAGTAGTGGCGTAATGGCGACATCTCGGACAGAAGTTCACTGAACGATTGCTCATAGAGCTGTAAGTATCTGGCAAAGCTGACACCGGTCTGACTGATGAAAGATCCAGCCATAACAATAGCTAGCGGTAGACCATTGAGTCGATTGGCAAGCTTTCTAGAGTCTTTTCATGGGTAAGTATATGTACCATTGCACAGAGAGAGATTAGCAGTTTTTTACCTTCATTTATCACACTCGTTGCTTCGGTGTCCTCCTTTGTCATGCTTCCAGACGAGTACAAGAGTAGCTGAACCCCTTCTTCCAGAGACAGCCCTCGGACTGGGAGTGGCTTGCCTAGATCCCTGAGCTGTGGAAGCCGAGTGGTGATTATAATCGATCCTTGGTCTACAACCGGAAAGTAGTGGCTGATATCGTACCCTTCACGGTTTTCAGCTTGCGCTGGGGCATACTGGTCAACATTATCGAATATCAGCAGCCATTTGAAGTTTCCTTCCACTGATAACCACTCAAGAACCTGTCGTGCGTGCACTTCCCTCTCCTTTTCATTTTTAGCACTCTGCGTGAGTTGAATCCCTGGCAGCTTTGGGAGAAACGAGGCCAAGGATTGGATTAAGGTTTTCTCATCCTTGCCATTTAGCCAGAAGATGGCTGTGAAGTCGAATTTGTGGATCCTGGCAAATTGGACAGCCAGCTGGGTTTTACCAATGCCGCCGAGTCCATGAAGGATAGCTCTTTTTTGCATGGGAGAACCCTCCGGCTGGAGCAAATCCCATAGCGAATCTAACTCTGCTTCGTGTCCCACAAATCCGCCTACTGCAGGAACTGTAGCCAAGTCCAGAGGGATACGGAAAGATTCTGTTTGATAATGAATATAAATATAAGTCACAACATGAGCTAGTAGTTGGACGACAACAAATCCTGAGTTCTCTCCTTTGGCTCTTCTATCGTATAAGGCCGGACGACATCACCGATAGATTCCAGGCGAGGGTGAGAGTGAGCTGAGCTCGACATACCTGCTTTCACGGCGGCCTTTGCCATCGGCGTCAACAAGACTTTCTCCGGCTGGACCACGGCCAGCAATTCTTTCGCATACGCTGCCGCCGCAGCCGCCGCAAACCCTTGCCATTCGTCATTCTTGTGTGAGTCGGCGTAGTCTGAGATGCCTCGAATGACCAAACACGGGAAATTATTCAAAAGGCCTGCGGCTTCCATTTCCACACAGTAAGCCCCAAGCTCCTGACCCAAACGGCCCCTCAACGCAGAGTCCTTGACAACTTGATTTGCCGACGCAATCAGACCATAGTGAATACGCGGCCCTCCATCAGGGCGCGACGAGCGGGGTACGCTTTGGGCCCGGTCGCAATCCGCACAGGTGCTTCTTCCCTGCCGATGGGCGTATTCCGCCTGAAAGAGGTGATCTGATTGCTCAGGCCGACTGAAGCCTTGTGCCATAAGAGGGAATCTGGCTACCATGTCGTCCAAGAATGTCTGGATCTGACTTCCCCGCAGCATATGGTTCGCTCGAATCTTGGCCAGCGCAGTCAGGAGGACCTGCGGTGGCGGAGACAATATTCCTGTCCGCTGAAAATGACCGCCGGTTAGGGCTTTGCCGAGATCATACTGCACCACGCCTCCATGGTCACCCGTTGGCCGACTAACAACAACATCGCCAAGCCGAATATCGACATCTTTGCTTGGTATCCCTCCTCCAATCCCAATCATGAAGCCAAACCGGATGGATGGAAAGCTGGCCAGCAGCTGCATTGCCACGACTGCGGCCGAGGCAATCCCGGGTATTCCATCCGGCAAGCAAGCGATGACGATATTGTGCGCTCCAATTCGTCCCAGTGCATAAGTATTCTTATCATGGTGCGCGATGGGTAAAGAATCGTGGGTGTCGTCGAGCATGGCCTGCGCGGCGGCCAATTCGATAGGAAGGGCAGATATCCATGCTACCGTGTAGTCCTCGTGAGAGAGCTGCACCATTGTGCAAAACAATGGTCTGAATAAGTATATTCAGTATATTTAGACTGTAATATTTGATGGTTTTAGGAATTATCGAGCTCCCTCTGTTTTATTCACTGAGGGTCCGCTTTAATAAATTGGATTTCCCCATGTGCTGCAGCTGAGGGAGGGGTGGTGGGACGCGTTGACCGCAGTTGAGAAATTAGAGAACTATTTCTTTTTCATCTGGCGAGGCTGGCTGCTGCCACAGAGCATGCACTAATTCCCATTGGCTCACAGTCTTCAAGAATAGTTTCAGCCTGTCTGTCACCCGCCCGGGCATCGCGTTGGAGATTAGAAGCAAACCAACCAATCTCTCTTCGCCGCCGGACAAACCAATGCTATCCATCTTGCCAATATGACCATTTCCCGGACCTCCCGAAAGTTCAATAGACCCAGAGCCATCATAGCCATGTTACATTCGGGCTCTCGCTATCGCAATCAAGCACGACCCTATTCCGACCACCCAGGGTTGTTAGAGGTCGAAAGTTCCATTGGAAGGGTTACCACTACTCACGCCATGTCCACAGTGGCTTCCCCTGCAGTGACAGCCATTCTTATGGCCCTTTTCCACGATTGTTAGCATTTTGGTACGAGTATTGCTATTGGCAATAGCCGGTTATCACTCACAGCTCCACCCGACTATCCCATCATATGGACTATTGTCAGTGTTCTGGGCAGAAGCAGGACGTGGAAGGTTAGGGGTAACCATCACTCACATAATGGCATCCACAGTAGCAAGCATTAGCGCCCATATTAGTCACTCCATGTATGCAGTTACCGCAGTTGCAATTGTAGGTGTGGCTGCAATTCTTCTTCTGGGGTCGCGCAGGGCCACCGCCGTTACTGCGGTCCCAGATGCGGCCGTTGGAGTTTCTGGGGTATCCGGAGTATCCAGACATGGCTGTTCTATTTCAGTGGGCTGTAACCGTTATAGAGGTGTTTAGTTGCAGAGAGGCGGATGAGGACCTTGTGCTTTTAAGTTATCACGGTGTCGCAACGCATCCTTAAATACACAGCCCCACCACCCCAGTATCAATGAAGACAGAAAATGGTCAACCTAATGAAACCCATCTTCATATTGCATGGGTACACTATCCAGCTGAAATAAAATGGGGGGGTAAAGAAATTCTGTTGTCATCATCTGACCACTCCTTCGTGTCCACTATTTCTTCCTATCCTCTCATAAGAAGCAATATGAAACCCAGCTAATAATTTCTGGTCATTCTGACATGCTATCCTTCTCTATAATAGACCCATCCCTGCCTTATCTGATATTCTCAGTGCTGTGGTTTGCATCATAATGTGCCAGTAGTCAATGGCTCTGCCGCTACTGCAAGATTGTTTTCTGTTTGTACGCCAGTGGTTCCTGGTTGAATAGAAGAGTAAGTCTCCCCTGCTGCCTCTTGCACTTACTTGATCATGTAGCTTATCAGCCTCGCTGCCTATGTATCCCTCGCGAATTTGAGTGAGGGGAGTAATGTCTCGATGTAGTTAGGACTATACTGCCTAGCTGTTCGATCTGGCATTACTCCTGTCCTCGCGCACCCGACACCAGTAGAAGTTAGTTACTGCATCAACATCTGCTATCAGCGATGGCTGTCAGCTCATGAGCTTTTGCTGAGTCAAGTCAGTCGTATCACATCTTTATGAATCTATCGACCGAACTTTGCCATCTACTCAACCAGAGCAGCAAGGAAAATAGGTCATTATAATCCTGATTTTCGCAACAACAGGATCCTATAGCTAATCACAGCATCACGACACTTCACGGACTTGCTCCATTGGTTTTTTTCCTTTCTTGTTTGGCGTCGTAGACAGTTCCTTATTCCTGGTTCACAGAGACTAATCATTTTACAGCTGTCTCGGAATGACAGGAGCCAATTTTATTGGTCCCAGACATCAGCTTTTCAGCCTAGTGTAGGTATAATATTATTAGTAAAGTATCAGGGGCACGAGTCCATCAGCTAGAATATATATTACCTATGGCTGAAACTAATAATAGTAGGTACTCAATACCCATATAGAGAGAGAATATAACTATATAGGCATACTAATACCTAGAGCAACTAATTCATTAGACTAGGAAAATACCCAGGTAGGTATACTTCTTGGGCTTACCCATCTTGGTACAGCTAATCAAGCTTTTCAGTATCCCAGGATACTGAAAAGTCTCAGTCTAGCCATTCTGGACCAGTCTTTCACTGGCAAGAGGTACAGTGGCAACCATTATTGCCCTCTAAGTTCTGTGTCAGGGAACTGAGATATTCTTTCAAACCCTAATCATTATCTAATCCAAATATGGTTACTTCCGTATATTAACTTCTTTTTCAAATTGGGAAATGATAATCATGCGGAAGATATAAAACATGGATAGGCTGTATAGAGAGGTAGATATACCGATATGTATGGTACAGTTTAAAAAACAACCCCCCTCCCAATACACCCATCCTAACTCAAGCACAAACAAACATTCTAACCCATTGCAAAATGCATGAAATATTAATCCCTGGCAGCGTACGACTATTGTCCGTACAATACTCAATAGAAACAAGTTTATCACATCCCTATAGCCCAAGGTTGCAAAGAGTAGTGAGCTTTCTGTTACTAATATACACAAGAACATGATCCATATCAACACAGACACGTAGAAGCTCCATTAATCAGCTCCGTTGGTCAATAGATGCCAATCACCGGAAGCCGGCTCTCCATAGCCTCCTTACCCAGCTAAATAAAAGAATACACCTGCCCAACGCACGGCCAAAGGCCATTGGAAGTCCAAATTTGAACCATGTCGATGGTCTCAAGAGAGCAGCGCCCGGCACGACTATCGCATCTTTGGCGTTGACGGCTGACTTAGAGTCATTGGAACTGGTAAATGCATCAACGGCCTCCAAAATAATTTGCACCGTCAATCCGGGTTGACTCAGAAAAGGTGAATGGCTTGTTTGCAGCTCTCGATGCTCCACACTAGCGCCCATTTCTCTCGCCATACCAACTGACATCCGCTGAGCCAGCACCGGTAAACCTCGATCCTCCACAGTCCCAATGTACCAAGACGGCACGTCTTTCCACCCAGCATAGGTGTACTCGCCGCCTTCGAACAATGCCTTCAAACTCTGGCTCGTCAGCTGAGAAACCCAGTATTTTGCCTCTTCCTCTGGCAGGTCATGGTAGAAAAATTCCCGTGGGGAAACCACAAGCTCAGCATAGCCGGTTTCGTTATTCACACGCCAGGAAGGCGGCGGATGACCGAAGAATGGATCCATGAAGGACAGCCCAGTCAAGGTATAGCCAGATGCTATAAGGATTAGCCCAATCACGTATCCTGATTGACTGTCATCAGCATCCTTTGGCTTTGTGAAGCCTTTGATGGCGCTGTTGCCCACTATGCCGCCATATGAGTGCGCAATGAGAACGACATTGCGCCCGTTGCTTGTCTCAGCGAAAATTGCATCTTGGACTGCATCGAGATCATCTTTGAAGGTCGCGTTGGGATTGTTTGCTGTCGAGGGAAGAGACACTGCGACACATCTCAACTTGGGCTCCAGGAGCTTAATGATCGGGCTGTAGCATGTGGGTCTATGCCAGGAGCCTGGTATGAAGACAAGGGTCGGTCGACTCGACATGATAATAGACTGTGAGTTCAATATGTTCTACTGGCCTTTAGAATAGTGCAAGAATACAATAAGTTTGATCATATTGAAGGTTGAGTCATAAGTTGAAAAGATGCAACTCATCAAGTGGGGCTGTGGGAGTTCTGACGAACCAAATCAGGCGGAGCCGGACAGCACATCATAACATATGGTTTAGGTCAGTGCCTTATATTCATCGTGGTACATAGATTACCAGGGATTATTGCTATGTACATATAAGACTGGTAATTTGCGCTAAATACTGTATTTAGCATATCATGTGATCAGGGCCTGAAAGAGTATCTCTGTCTACTAACATGGAAGGCAATAACTGTCTCCACTGTATGATTGCATTCACCTGGTAGCCTGACGAACATGTACTTCTGCAGATGGCTAGAATAAAAAACCGAGAAGGCTGGCGAGGATCACTGCAGTATGGGAGGACTTGCTTAATGCAATCTACAAATGTAGGCTATAATTACATGGAGATTTAACACTGTTGTATCATCCAGAGTACCAACCAGGTTACCAGGCCAAAGATGTGGTGTGATACTTAGAGCCCATTTATGGCCATAATGTAGAAATATAGACAAAGGTGATGTCTGAGGACACCAGAGAATCCCTATTGCTGATATACTTAATGGATCATACAGTGACCTTTTAACGCCAAATTACGGTAGATGCAGAACTGGGATGGCTGTTCTCTGGTTGTTGACTGCCCTAAATGTGGCATGGATTGCTCACTGTGATGACCGCCATAGATATGATAGCTATCTCATATTTGTCCTAAATGTTGATGGTAGATGAGCAGATGCCACTCTTCGGGAAGTGTTAGATGGATTCTTCGGGGTTAAGTGTTAGCCTGGGTATATAGTAGTTAGTCACAGGGCAGTACAGCCAAAATAGGCAGCCATGGAGCAAATCCTAATTGTACCGCGATATTATATTAATACGTATATTAGTAAAAAAGATAGGAGTATAGCAGAAGAAAATTACTAGAAGGTTACGATTTTAAACATTACGCACTACTAAAGAAGGTAGTAAAATAGCAAACCATAATACTGTTATTCACTTCATCAGGGTAGTGGTGAGGGCCTTCATGAGCTTGAGGAGATGGGGAGCAATCATATGCTGCGACCTGCCTTCTCTCCAAGCTAGGGGCCACGCTCACCACTATATATCTAATTCTACACTATGAGCTACCATACATTTGTGAGAACCCGCGCTGGGCTGCTAAGTTTACCCAGAGAGCAGGATAAGGAGTAGAACATACCATCATGTCCTCCATGCCAGCCGCCTCAATTTGATCGCTGACAATCCAACCTGAGAACTCTTATGACTGCCTTCTCATTGATAAGCATGCTGTGCTTTACAAATACGGGGACCTGATTTCTTCAGATTATAAATGAACATAATGATCATCTGACAATCTACAGGTGGATGCATTGACCCTGAATATAATTTTCACAAAGAACTTCTCATATTCTCGCATATTTCAAGTCTCTCCGAAGTTTACTATCATGAAAAATCACAATCAGCCCCTACTCTTGCTCAATCCTAACTACACACGCGTAAAGCAACCTCCACCTTTCATTGTGACCACGACTTGACCCCCAAGCAACAACACACAACACCAAATCAATGCTTCAGCGTCAACAGCCCCGGGCGATAAGGAAGTTGATTGTAGGGGGGGTTGACATTCGGGTCGCGTCCCTGGTAGAGCAATTGCAGGTTGCATGGATCAATAGTCATGGTTTGATCCGGGTTGCTGCGAACCAGGTCGCCGTGACTTATATCATTCGTCCAGGTAGCACCGCTGTTAGCCTTTCCAGCAAAAGGTTTTCCCTCGGTACCAGCCTGCACAGTCCACGCGCCACCGAGGCTGTTGGCAGTGAAAGAGCGGAAGTAGCGCCCATTGGCGCCCATCGCCTCGACAATCATGAGGTACTTGTTCTGTCCCGAGACGGTGTACACCTGCACCGCCTCGAACAGGTTGTTGCGGGAATCACTGAGGACGACCTCGTACGCGCTGCCGAAGGATCCCGGGAAGTTACCGATGGGCATGCTGGCACGGTAGATCTTGCCGTTGTCGCCCGCGAAGAAGAGGTACATATTCTTCGAGTCGCCGATGACGGTCTGGTCGATGGCGGTGCCGCCGTCGGAGAGTTTACCAGTGAAAAGCGGATGTTCCGAAGACCATCCATTCGGGTTGGAGGGATCACTTGAGGTCCGATAGGAGAACGTGCTTGAACCCCACTGGTAGACGAGGACCCAGGTGGACTTGGGCGCGAAGTAGAACAAGGTCGGCGCGACGGCGGAATTGATCATCTGGTTCTGGCTTGCCCGTTGCATTTGCGACCAGTCACTGAAGAGGCCAAAGTTCATCGAGTGATAGTTGCCCGAGTTATCAGCAACTGAGCCATACACGAGATGCTGGCCATTGTAGACTACGTTGGTGAAGTCTTTGAGCGAGGCCCAGCCTGACTTGGGCTGTGCTAGTGGACCAGTTGATGTCCAACTGTAGGTCGATGGGAGACTGCAGCTTGCTGCAACAGTGCCCACCGATGCCAGTAGCAAGGCAACAGATGACCAGAGGCCTGTCTTCCCTAGTGGAGATCGCATGGTAAGATTATGCTTAGAAATTTGCTTTGGAAGAGAGTGAATCAAGAAGCAGCAAAATAGAGCAGAATGAAAGTGGTTTAAATACCTTTTCTCTTTAACCCCTCAGGAAGTTCTCAACAGTAGACTTAGCCATCAATTCATCCAAATGTCCAATGGGCCAACAATGTCTCAGTCGCATATAACCATGAAGCAGTCCAGTGTTTCAACATTCCATCAGTCGGCAATTCCAGGCTGATTTCGATGCCGATCTTCTTCAGAAAAACTGACTGGACCCTCTTTAGCCGGCGAAATTGCGGGGAAACGTCAACTCGCGACACAACTTAGGCAAAAGACTACTATGATACGATTGATCCCCTGACCCCTTGACCCCTTGGGTCAATTATACCCAGCTTCCATATATATATCTTCACTGGCACTAACGACATTCCACACGGCAAGAAGGGATTACAGGCTATAACCAAAAGAGTGAGGAGGTAGGGAAGCAATTCAGGGATACGAACTATGCCCACTGGCTGGCTGGCAAATAATAGTTCTCATAACTGCCAGCAGGATCACAATGCTTAATAAGTAAGATAACTATGAGATAGAACGTAGGAATAATTCACTAGAGCTCTTTAAGGCTCTAGGCTTATAACTTACAGAATAAGAAGATAAGATATAAAGATATTAATCTCTTATTACTATGTAAAGTGTATGTTTACTATCATATAAATAGTATGGAGTAGGGGCATTCCTCTAGGCGAGATCACGTGATGAGATCTCCGCCATTCTGAGTACGGCCACATCGTCGTAGGTAGTTCGTTATTGAAATATGTAAATATATATGCATTGAACTCTACCAGAACATCTCTATAGTTAACGTACTTCCCAAACGAGTCGGACACCTCTGTATTCCATATAAAATGGCACACTTGAAGGCTTTGATATCTCAACAATCAAGCATCTACAGGGTCCAGGTTTAGGTATGAGGTATTACTATAGTAATATAAAGTTATAAGCTACAGCCTCCTAGTATATATATATTCTCAGGTAACATAAATTACATCTGTACTTTTGGTGATATTAACTTTCTAGATACTGTGAGAGAGGAATAGTATTTTGGGGCCTTGAAAAAGAGTATTCATATACTTTAATGTACATATAGTCTAAATATCTTACTTATATTATAGTGTATATGGACATAGTTGAGATATCGCAGCCCTGATGAGCGCTATTTTATATGGAATACAGATGTGTCCGGCTTGCTAGGGTGTCCGACTTGTTTGGGAATTACGTCAGGGTCTTTCTATTAGTCAGCTACTGCAATACATTCCCATAAAGGATCACGTTAACATTGAACTGCTATGTACAACAAATACATGGGTATGGACACACAAAGCATAATCAAGGCGAGCCCCATCCTGTCTTCAAGCTTCCCTTTTCTTTTTCGTTCTTCTCTTTTGGCCGTGGAAACAATACTAGCTGAACCGGGGTATCTCTGTTCCATCACGTTGCCCTCGTAAATTGCATGAAAAAAAAAAATAGCGGGTATGAAAATCACTCGCCTGTCCACGGTGGTAGGCAAGAACAGCAGTAGGGCGTGAGGGCAATTTTCAATCATGGTTCAGATGGGACACTGCGTACGCCGAATAGCAGAGCAGCAGTGGTATGAAAGAGATAACGCAATAGGAAAGAATCAAAATATGCCCAAGTCTCGTCTCAGTAAGTCATAGATACCACAAGGATTCGACAATCGTGCTAGCCTCTAGCTCAGTCGAAGGTCAACAACGTAATCGAGGCAGTTGGCCAAAGTGGTCTCAACGGGAGAGCGCCCATCGACTCATGCGTGGAGCCAACAGCGGCTGGAGATGACCTCATCATCGACTCGTGATCGAAGAGCGCCTCTAAATCTCGTCATCCGCCAGCCAACCATTCGTTCTATCATGCCGTTTTATCATATACACATCGAATCTTTCTTCCGCGCCGGACGTCCACAAGCAACAGCAGACAGCGAGCACATTAATCATTACCTAGTTCACTCCGATTACCGAGTTCTCAGCTCGCTCTTTCAACCGCATAGCTTGCGCTTCGAGAGACCGTGCCATCAGCTTCGTCACTGATACGATGTTAGCCATGTGAAACAAAAGTAATTAAAGGGCTCAACAAACCTGGCCAGACTGCAGCTCTATCAAGGAGGCTTGCTGTCGCGATCAAGATCTTGCAGCCATAACCCCCTTCAACGACACTAGGCAGCCGTTGCAGAACGCTCAGCGTGGACACGGTAGTGTTGGTCTGTACGTCCCGCTGCATTTTGCTCTCCACACTCGAGAGGATCTCCCTGATCTTTTCCAAAAGCTTGCAGTCTTCTTCTTCGAGTAGCATGACGTTCATGG